TACCCCAAAACGATACCTCCCAGACATGCAAAACGATACGGGGCACCCTAAATGATTTCCACCATTACCACAGACAAGTAATTTTGACGCCAGCTCATATCATGCTGTAGATCTTTGCTATAACGCTGAACACACCCATTCGAATGACCAATACAATGTTATGGTCGAAGCAGCCCCAGAGTGTGGCATTATTTCAACTGTGAATTATACGTATATCGGTCTTCTAACTATATGGTATAACCCTGTGTGCGTTGCATGAGGCTGCCAGCTTCCTTAGATCAAATAGGGCACCCCATAGAGACCCAGAATGCCAATAGGGACGAGGTAACCCTTCTATGAGGAAACTCTAAACCCTAAATATATATCCCTATATACTATATAACCCCAATTTAACCTCAAAGGGTACCCCTAATGTTGGGAAACTCCTGTATATACCGCCCTCAACCGTAAACCCCCAAACCCTGTACAGCATGTCCAGGTGATTCTGCCGCCCTTTGCGCAACCGGGTCTGGTGGTCCAGCTATTCCTCACTAACGGCCAGCTAAGTGTTTTGGATTGATTCCAGGGGTTAGGTTTTTGTTTGTTTTTGCTTTGGGAGTTCGGCTCTAGCTCTTAGGGCTTTTGATTTCGGGCGTTATTTTTCCGCCTAAGCCCAAGGGGTTTGAACGTCTATTGAACTTCTATAAGCCCTTGCAAAAGGTCATGGCTATGGGAATTTAGTGGGGTTTGGAGGTTAGGGATACGGCTGTGAATCAAAAGGACTGGCTTTGTAACAGCTTTGGGCCGCCATTCCGCGACACAGGCTTTTAACAGACTCTTCTGGCTTGTGACAAGCACTCTAATTAGCAACAAGCTTTTCTGTGGCGCATGCCTGTACCAAGCACTTGTGACAAGGATATGAAACAACAGGCCACGACAAAGGGTATGTAACAAGGGGTGGGAGGAGGGGCCGCGACAAAACGAGTTTCTGATCCACATCCACGGCCACATCAGTGCAGGGTTCTCACGAGTCCATCACTCTGGGGAGCGAGGGTGGCCTGTAGCAACGGAACCTCGAGGGATACCTGTAGGCTTAGCAAGGGCTTTTGCATAGAAGCATCCCACAGGAAATGCCTCGGGCAACATGTACGCCTTTAGAGCATTCTACCCCTGCGAATTTGCAGGACAGGGTTTAGCGTTTGAAAGACCGCTTTCGACTGAAACTTGGAGCCACGTCTTGATTGGAAATGTAGTGCTTAACTTGAAAAGCGAACAGCATTTGTCCGTCAGCGTCTGTGAGTCTGTGATATCCACCCCAAAGCCCTATGCTGGGTTATTGTTAAGCAACTTGAATTGACTTTCTATAACAAGGAAACCCCTTTTATGTATTATGTACCCCTATTCTGGTAGCTCAAGTTAAGTTCCTTAACAGCAACCCGGTATTCATCGGGTCATTCCCCCTCCCAGTAACTGTCCTTAAAGGGGCCTTATTAAGGGGGTTCTTATAACTCTTATAACACATTGTGGTAACAGTTACTGTAAGGGGGAATGACCCAAGGTATTCAGTATTCCCATCCCTAAACCCTGCTGCTCCTAGGTGCCATGCTCTCCTCCACATACGAAGGGAGGATGGTAAACCTGGCCGAGGTGATCGTTCAGGAGCGGTTTAGGGTTTAGGGTTTAGGGTTTTGGGGTTTAGGGTTGGGGGTTAAGGTTTAGGGTTTAGGGTTGGGGGTTTAGAGTTTAGGGTATAGGGTTGGGGGTTTAGGGTTTAGGGTTTAGGAATGAAGGAATGGACCCCTACAGTAGTCCTTATATAACCCAATATTATCGTAGTTTCCATTTTCTTTTCCAGTCCTTCATTCCCAGCTAACCAAAGGTAAGTTTCGGGTCGCAGGTCAGGTATCTTATCTGGTGGGTTCTACAGGGATAAGCCTTCAACCCTAAATGGTGGGTTTCTAAAACTAGGGGTACCGTTTCGCGGGTCCCAATAATAAGGATTATAGTATTTTGGGCTCTATATGTTTGGATCCCCCTATTCATGGAAACTACTAAATAAGCTCTATCAGGTTCCCGACAGTAAGTACATGTGGGGTTTAGGGCGCGAAAAGCTCAAGGTATTGCCAGGTTGCAGTCTCAAGCCCACGTAATCATGTGTTCCACGACTACTCCCCATGGTTAGGGGCAACTACGGTTAATTAAGGCCAGCAAATTAAGGGGCAACCTCGGGGCAGTTGTATACATGGGTGGTGTTAAAGGAACTCATGATGTAATTACCGATATGGATTCTGCTAGTACCTTGCAACGTACCTGCCTTTGGCGGCCTGTCGGTAGCAGTGAGCATTTGGCTGGCAAATGGATCCCTTTTTTATTCCCCAAAGCCACGCTTAGAGCCTGGCATTTAGGATTTAGGATGCGCGGCTTAGGCTCTGGGATTTAAGCTTTCTGTAGGGCCGAGAAAGACTTTAATGGAGGTCATGGAACTCTGCGAAGACGCAGTAACTGGTCCTGCTTTTCTTCTTCTGGGCATCTACTTTATGTCTTCTAGTTCGTAATAGTCAAAGTTGGTACTGTTTGTGTTCTTATCTTCTAATACATGCGTGATAGTACTAGGTGGAGCACTTTTCGCTTGCTATCTTTATGTAGTCTGGTAGATTCGTCATGGTCGTAGTTTTTCTTACAACTCTTCTCATCTTCATGTCTCCTTGCACATGCCCCTTTCCCCTGTCGCTGGAATCCAGTTGTCAGCCCTCGCCTCTCCGCTCCAGAACTTGGAGCATGGTAGCTTGCAGGGGGGCCAACGCTGTTTGATGCCAGAACCCCAAACCCTAAACCCTAAACCCAAAACTTGTGGAACCACTTACTAAACCCTAAACCTTCAACCCTTGGTCCCAGCACCGGTATCCGGCGTAGGCAGCGGGAGAGAAAGAGGGAATCCCAACTCTAACCCAGGTCGATCCGAATGTTGGGAAACTCCCAAATTTCCCGAAGATTTCATAAGATATCCTTAGCTTGAGAAATCAAACTGCTCATATGAGAGCTTTTCAGTGGGACGAACACCTGTTTGGGACCCCCCTGGCAGGGGTTAAAAGATTTACAGGATAGTGCTGATTGGAGGGTCAGGGGGACCTGAGTAAGTGGGCTATCAGTGGGCATAGTTGGGCTTACTCTACGGTTCATATGGGTTATCCGATGCTTAAGGTTATACTTTTGGATAGATTGGTTCATGCTTGCGGTCAGCAGGAGGAAGTATCAAGGTTGTAAGCACGGCCTAATGTGGCACCCTTTTTAATGGAGGGGTTCGGATTAATGAAAAGTGTTCGGGGAATTATTCAGAATCAGCTATTGTTTGAGGGGTTCGGAATAATGAAAAGTTTTTGGGACCGAAAATAAAAAATAACTGATTCTGAATT